CGTGCGCCCAGCTGGGGCCCCTGGGCAGATCTGCGCAGGAGCGGGGGGCTTCCTCCAGGCGGTTCCCAAATGGAGTCTTCTGCCCCCGGGATTTAGAGAGAGCTTGTACCTTTGCCAGCTCTGGCCATTGGGGATCCCAAAACACTTTGCAGGGGGCGCCTTCCCAGCCTTGTTTGTTAGCTGCATTGTGGTGGTGCCTTCGTGCGCCCAGCTGGGGCCCCTGGGCAGATCTGCGCAGGAGCGGGGGGCTTCCTCCAGGCGGTTCCCAAATGGAGTCTTCTGCCCCCGGGATTTAGAGAGAGCTTGTACCTTTGCCAGCTCTGGCCATTGGGGATCCCAAAACACTTTGCAGGGGGCGCCTTCCCAGCCTTGTTTGTTAGCTGCATTGTGGTGGTGCCTTGAAGGCAGGGCCCTGCCAGGAGAGCTAGCCATGCCCCCAGAGCTGAGTCTAAAGGTAACATTTTCAAAAGCACCTCCGTGACTTCGGAGCAGCGTTCCCTCTAAGCTGAGCGCTTGGACGGCCACCCAGGAAAGATTCAAATGCTGCCCTGCTAATTAGCAGAGTGCCCGCCGCTGGCAGCAGCCAGCAGCATGTGTTTCTACTGGGGGTGCACATCTGCACAGGCCTATGTGCGTGTAAAAAATTTATTCTGCACATAGATGGAGAAAACTAGAGGGAACACTGCTTCGGAGCCCCCATTTCATTGATTTTTCAGTGGGACTTTGGCCCCTAAGTGCCTATGTTAGTTTGGAAATTATCACCCTGGGTCTGGGTTTTAGTATCCACCTGCTTTACAGCCAAAGAACCAGTGACACAGAGAGATGAAGGCCGTGCTGGTGCAAACACTCGCATGTGGGCGTAATTTCAGTAGGTCTGCTCACCGGCTTATAGTTAAGCACGTGTAGGTGTCTGCAGGGTTGTGGCCATGGGTGAGTCACACAGGCACGTCAAGTACTTGAAAGGGTGTTAAGGAGGAGGAGGGAGAAAAATGGTTCTCCCTGGTTGCTGAGGACAGGACAAGAAGCAATGGGCTTAAATTGCAGCAAGGGAGGTTTGGGTTGGACATCAGGAAAAACTTCCTACCTGTCAGGGTGGTGAAACACTGGAATACGCTGCCTAGGGGATTGTGGAATCTCCATCTCTGGAGACATTTAAGAGCAGGTTAGTTAGACATTTATCAGGGATGGTGCTTGGTCCTGGGATTGGACCTGATGACCTCTCAAGGTCCCTTCCACTTCTAGTGTTCTGTGATTCTATGACCCGGCAAGAGACACTAAGTCCACTTCTCCCCTGCACAATCACCAGTAGAACCCAGGAGTCCTGACTTTCCACGCTGGTCCAAGCCACTCCAGTTGATGCTGGCATTGCACTGGTGCAGGTAAAAGGGCAGGATTGGGCCCCCCGTGCCAAGTGGGCATGGCACGCTCGCTTTCTGTGGGGGCAGCCATTGGTGCCTGTTCTGCCCTGGTGTGAGTGACCCTGCCACCCCACAAGGTGCCAGGCAGGAGGGAGCTAGGTTCAGTGCCTCTCACAGGCCTTTAAGGGAAACCCCATTGCATTTAAGCTGCGGGTGGGGAAGGCACATGCTGTACGTGCCCAGCGCTGGGGCTCTCACTCACCTGCCATTGCTGCGTCTTGTCTTAAGGTCTCCGTCCTCGACCTGCACCGGTGCGCCTGGCTCAGCCTGGCTGGGGGTGGGGCAGCGCCAGGGTGCGGAAGATCCGGGGCTGGGTGGCCCCCACTGTGAAATGCAAGAAGCACAGAGCTGAGAGAGATCTGAGGCTGAAAGAAGCCACGGGCCTGGCAGAGCTGTTTCTGGCCACTCTCCGTGGATGCTGGGGCAAAGAAAGGCCCAGGGAAGCCGGTGGGTGGCTGCTGTCCCGTCTGAGGGGCAGGCAGCTGGAAAAGAACTCAGCAGGGTTAATTCCAGGCAGGCAGATGTGGGTTGTGTTACTGCTTTGTTGGAACCTGTGACCTCCAGAGGGGGCGAAGGGGGTACGCCCAGGAGCCCTGGCTTGAAGGAAGAGGAGGTCTGAGGAGGCGAGGAAAGGGACAAGAGGGAGCAGAGTCAGAGGTGTTTGCATTCTCACATGGGCCTGGAGTTTTCCTTGAGATATGCATCATGATAAACTGCCCTGTGGCAAGGGTGTTCTCGGTTCCGGGGAACGTTAGGACAACAGCTGGGGGACAGAGGCCAGGCGACTGAAGGGGCATGTGGGAACCTTTGGCTGACAGTGGGCAGAGCTAGTGCTAAGGTCCCATTACTGGGGGAGGAGGGAAGAAGGTTTGGGGGGAATTTGCCATCGACATTGAAAAACAACCTAACAGGCTAGTCAGAGCCTTGGAAAATCTTGGATTTGAAGAATTTAGAAACGTTTCTGTGTCAGTATCTTGCTGTAGCCGAAAGCTCATGATCCCATCTCCATGTTTTGTTAGTCTTTAAAGTGCTACCAGACTATTTGTTGGTTTATCCTGGACAGATTGACTCAGCTACCCCCTGAAGCCTATAATTTATGTACAGGATGAGCTCTGCACAATGTACCGATTTTGGCCCTATCTGGCAATAATTTGAGGCCTCTTGAAGATTATTTTTGGGGGGACAAATATCCCCGGTTCTCCCACTACCACCAGCACCTGCAGCTGGGCTAAAGAAACCTCAGGGCAGAGCCCCTGCCTGGCCCCTGCGATAGCACCCCTCCGAATGCAGACAAAGCTGGGTGAACCGTGGGTGACGTTTGTCCACCAGCATAGTAAACACCGCTGCCCTAGAGGGCATTAGTGGGGCTGAAAGAACCCCTCTTCTGTTGGGATGGCCGCATGTGGGCTGGGAGCTTTGCTGGCACAGCTGTCTTGGCGAGCGGTGTGTGGCTTTGTCACACCCCTGATTGCCAACAAAACTTTGGTCAAAGTCCCCCACCGACCAAGCTGTGTCTGGGGACCGGTTGCATCCTGAGACTCTAGTGGTTGGCCACTAGGTGTCGCTGGTTCCCTTCCCTGAAACACCAAGGCAAAGGAGTTTCTGGGTTCCTCCCTGTGGGTGTTACTGAGCAGAGGAGCTTTGCTTTGCTCGGTGGCAGGCAGTGGAAACATGCTACCGCTGTGCTCTGGACAGAAAAGCCCTGTGATTCTGCAGCGCCGGGCCTGTGCACAGCCCTGGTGGGAGCAGTGGGGCTCATCGCAAAGCAGGGCACTTCCTAGGCACTGCCCCTTAGGGACACGTCTCCC